TCGGCTTGCACTTCTAGTGTGAATGTACTACACTAGAATAGTTCGATGTGACGTGAGTAAAACGACTGATTTTTCACTTAAAAATAATTTAATAAAAAAAGAACTAGTACAACTACGATAAGGCGAATGCTACATGAAATATAAACTAGTGTAATTGAATAAGGTAAAAATTAATGTTAGTGAATCAAAGGCTGATGTATGAATTCTTTAAAATCTAAAGTGCAGACAATTTTATAGGTTTAAGGTCGGCAGGCGGTCCCTGCTGTTAGCAAAGATACGGGGGTGCAACGCCTCCGAGTAGTCTATGTATTTTTCTAATGATAAGGTTGTTGACTCAGAGGGTAGAAATTTATAATACCTAATATGTTTATGATTGTCGGACCATCCGTCGATGACCAAAAATATTCTAAACGTGCTTAACAATGAAAATAGTTTTGAGAAGATATCATAAACCTAACAATATACTTACAATAAGAAAAATTTAATTTTATGTACAGAACAAATGTAACAAACTTATAATGGTTAATAACTGCTACAGTGGGCAAGATTTTAAAAATTATCGGCCGATATAATCTGTTCATTTTTCCGGGACACATATGAGACATTCATAGTGTTGCATTAGTAAAACAAGGACAACCTTCGAGGAGTCCACAAGAGACAGTTTGGCTAACTTTCCTTCTCTGTTTATATTTGCTCTCAATGCCCCAGAAGAAGCACAGCTTCAAAAAACGTCTTTCTTTGTTCTAGAAAACAGAAATGTTGACAACCGATACCTTAAAGATTTCCCATTCCGTCTCATACAAACTGTTTTCTTCGAATTGTATACATTATCATTAACTTACAATATCACTATCAGGCAGGGGCCTTAGAAATTTTTGGGAACTTTGTGTTTATCTCAATAAGTAATATTTCAGAAAAGTAAAACAAACACACTGGTATGCAAGAGAAGATCAATATGGAAAGAACAAAATATAAAGATAGGAGACGAAACATTAGAAGAAGTAGCTGATTTTCGGTATCTAAAAAGTCAGATAAGTTAGGACGGAAGGAGTAGGAGGCATATAAAGCAGAAGATAACGCAGGGTCGACTGTATGCTCGCGAACAATTAATTTAGAAATTGTTAAGGGTGTATGTTTGGACGACAGCGCTGTATGGGTGCGAACCATGGACGGTGGGCGCAGCGGTAGAAGAAACGGTTGGAAGCGTTCGAAATGTGGTGTTATAGGCGAATGATGAGAATACCTTGATAGAGAAGGTTAGAAATGAAGAGGTATTAGAAAGAATAAGAGAACAGAGGACTCTATGGAAGTAAATAAGAAATAGGCAAGATAGGTTGGTAGGACACCTTCTCAGGCATGAAGGGCCTAATCAGAGACATATTAAAGGCAGAAACTGGAATTAATAAAAGGACTAAAGGTAGGCCTAGATTAGATTACTGTTCGCAAATAGTTAAGGATATGGGATGTTCTAGTTTTAGGGAAATGCGAAGATTAGCTCAGGATATTAGGAAAGAGTGAAGGTGCCTACTGAACCAGTCTTAGGACGCACGACCTTTTGATGTTGATGAATATTCTTGAAATAGGTATTAAATGAGGTTCATTAGACGTATTTCTCAATTTTGGGGTTCATTATATAAAAAAGTAAATGCCAAGGAAACACCGAGAACAGAAGGCTTAATATAAGCGTCGATAAAGCCGAATTGTTTGTTTATTTGGAAGTGAGGCTCGTGCTGACGCACCCTTATAGTAGTACAAGGGTCTAAAGCCGGCGCTGTCATTCTCGAAGGAATTTAATCCCATGGTAACCCAATACTCTCTTTTATTATCCGCCGCTGACTACGAACATATGTAGTAAATTAAGCCAATTCCGAAACCGAATGAGACAGTTTGACTACAGAAGGATCATTTCTGTTTTATATACTTCCTTTTTGTGTTCGGTGGAACTTTTTTCATCCGCCTAAAGTATCTTCTTTAATAATATTCAATAGATAGCACAAAAGGTGGTTGCTATTTTATGTTTTATTCAGTTAGTGTGGTTAGAAATATATTCTCATTTTATGTCCTGCTGCTGTATTTCAATTTAGGTATCTAAACTATGAATTACATCTATATATATGCATAAAATCGAAGTAACACAGAAATGATTACCCTTTTATAATCTCATATAGGGTTTTTTATATGCTATTAAAACGTAAACGACCTTCGAAAAATTTTTTTTATTGTCTGCTTGCGCGTGCTATTCGATTTCGATGAGACATCCCCGAAGAAGAGGTTTTATCATGAGTAATTTACTCGAGATAAAAATGTTCAGTCTCTTGAAGTATCTGAAAACGAGACTCGAGTCTCCGTCTGTCATCGAGTCTCTCTGGTGTCGCTGAGAGAGACTGTCCAAAAAACTGTTTAGCATCTCTGAGCGAGAGACTCGAATCTCTGAACTAGAAACCCGAATCTATCAATAAGTGGTGTCTCGATAGTCACGGTTAATATTTTTAACATGTTTCAGAGATCCCAATCCTTCTACGAGAGACTAGGGTCTCTCAATTTTTCACTTTTATATATTCAGTCTTTCTCAGAGAGACTCGAATCTCTGCATTAACAATTTTATCATTCGAGTCTCTCATACAGAGATTGTGAGAGATCCATAAATACACGTAGGTAATAACTCAGAGACTGTGAAAGACTGTGAGAGACGCTGAAAGACTGAAGGATTCTGAGAGACTGGAGAGAGACTGAAAATTTTTGACTGGGGTAGGCTTTCTGTCTGTCTATATTTTGTTATATCGTATGGGCCAATGCAGAATTACTATCGGACATTTTTTTATCGCGGCTAAAAGCCATAGATATAAATAAAATTTAATATTGTATTCATTTTTTTAAACATTGTCTTCTAAATCCATAAAAACAGCTTAAAAAAATTACATTTATTCTGATATTTCTAAAAATTGGATATATTTCATCAGAAAAATGAGAAAAGATACCCTAAAGACAAAAGGAAAACCCCTTACAATATTGTTCTCCAAAAAATTACCTCAACCAGGGATAGCCTGTAATTTTTCCAATGATAATCTAAATCAGAACTTCCTAAATCTTGGAAAACCATATCAGAGTCTAATTCGCTTTAGGATAGTGTTAGCAGTCACCCGGTATGTTGAGGACCTTAGCAACCAGAACGGGAAATGTACTGGAGACCTGTTGTTACGATTAGAGAAAATGTTTATAAACAATTGGTAAACGAAGTAGCAGAGCTTTTTGTATACGTGTCAAGGACAATGTGAAGCCTGTGAACGATATGTGAATTGAGTCATTATTAGACGTTGGTTCTTCCCTATAAGAAGTATTTTATAGTAGGTATATGCTTGACTATAAATAAAGAAAATTTCTAGTACCTAATTCTCTCCTTAATCCAATAAAGGATACTTATAGGTGCTTTGTACTTTGAACTGTACCAACTGTTATAATATAAGAAGGGGTATATTTAATATCTACTTCCCCGTTTCATCAGTGATATAGCAAGGTCCTAATGAGGCTGAGCTTAAATTCTTGGATACCCCCATCAACTCATCAGAATTCGTGTTTTATTCTCAAGTGAACAATTTTGGTTTATTTACAGATCAGTTACGTTGGCGGACTTATGATGAGAAAGGTAATATGTCAGGATATCACCTACAATGGAGTTCAATCCATTATCAAAAAAAACTCTCTAGTTGATTACATTCACTGCACTGATCATGCATCCATGTTTTTACTACTGTCAAGGAAGTTTAGTATCTCGGAGTGGTAAATTTAAAGCTATTCTGAAAGTTATAGCTTTACCTTCTAAAAACTAAAGTTTTCAAATTATTCGTTCGTTATGCACCACACGATGGTTATCTAGTCTGGGATCTATTACATTCGTGCTATTTTGAGTCAACTTCAAATTTTTCTTGATTCATTGACAGCAAACCATAAACAGTTATAAAAAATAGTTATTTTTTTTTTATTTATCGGACAGTAATTCGTTCATTTAGGTTAAGTGGGTTTTATTAAACTTGTGGTTTTGGTGGGTGTGAGTGCTCACCATAAGACAGGGGATGCTCAGGCATCCTAGGACCTCCTGTTGTTGCTCTCATGCTCAACATATTTACTATCTTATTATGCTAAACTGATTAATCTATTCTTTTAAACAAATTCCAAATTGAATTGACTAATCGAAATAATTAAAGATTCAGTTCTTTGATGCTGTATTCAAAGGTTTTATATTTTTATCCCTCGCTCTAGCATCATAGAACAATGTTATCGTTAACAATAGTTGCATCATAAGTTTCATGTTAATCGTCTTTTAATCCATACGCTGCTGTACGTATGTGTAAAAAGACAGTGACTTATCGAATCCGTAAACGAATTAATTTTGCACATCAATAAGTTCGTGGTATTTAACAGTCGTCGGTCACTCCGCCTGTTAACTGCGCCAAGTAAGGCGGACGATGATACTGCGCAACTGCTACTTTAATCTTAAGACTTACAAGCTAGGTAGGCGCTATGCGTCTTCGCCTAGAAACATTCATATCATGAGTATTCTGAATGTCATTACAGAATAAACAGCGTATTCCAGTAAGTAAACCAGTTTAACATAGAATTATAAGTGTGTACAGCGTTAGAAATTGAAAAATGAATAGCTACTTAAACATGCAAAGAAGTTAAGTCACTTATCGAAGAGCCTTTGTTCGATTTGCTCGAATCCTTCTGAATTTCTTTGCTTCGCGTCTCGCGGAGGAGAAATATCGACTTTTGATTCAACATAGAGCTAGCTTGATTCAATGTAGCAAATCTGTATAAACCATAAATATATGTCATACATAACCAATAAGGAAAATCGCCCATGGTCTTGGTTGATTGGGCGGGAACTGGGCGCAAGCTAGAGGGCGTAACATGTCGATTTGTTCTCCGCCTACCAGGAGGAGCTTTTACAGCATCCTTGATCCTCTACGTACTGACGTTAGATGCATTTTGCCGTCGGGAAGTCCCGTCTCTGCTCTGTCGGCCGGAGCCAGAACTACTGTCAGTGCTAGTGCAATTAGTGCCGTATAAATTGACGTTTGGCTGTTTATGGACTTTGCACGGTAATAATTAATATTAATTATGTACATTCAGTTTTGCGCTTACCGGATTACCCTCTGCGTTTAGCAGGTCCCTATCAGTAATTACTTATTCTGCGTTAATTGCACTATAACTAAATGTAAAATTATGTTTCTGCACGCTATTTATACGCAAATGATATTAGGGCTCTGATGAGAGCTTTCGTATGTACCACGACGCTTTCCTCAATCAAGTAATTTTTTTTTTAATTTTTTTTCTCGATCGAATTCCGGAAAACTTAAGCGGAAAATTAACATGCGTAAAAACACAAATTTGTATAGCGTCACTATTAATTTACTTGTAATCAAATAAATTAAATTTAAATAGGGATCAACCTACATTAGCTACCTACAATTTCAATGTTCGCAATGTATGCAATAATGAAGTTATCATTAATAATTAGCAGATATATAACTTATTTATGTTGAGATATTTCATTCCAAGTGACGAGAACTCTAATAATTAATAGCTCTATTTTGTTGTAAGTAAAATAATTTCAATTTTTGTGTCTCAATATGGGATCTTCCATGAATGTACCTAATAATTAGTCAAAATTTATAGATATTCCTATTAAGTGTATGCAGCTTTTACCTTATAATTTTGAAAATATTTGAAGACTTATCCAATTAATTATTATTTATTGATAGAGTCTGGTAACAAAATTTAACGATTCTAATATTCATTAAGTATATTACCAAAGAATAGTGGAAGTTACCAACGGGTACCTATTATTAGGTACCTAGTCACTTACGCTCATCGTAGTAAAGTTATATAGACAATCCAGTATAGAGAGGTAGGTCTGCCGCTTTAGTGTTGACTGTTACTAAAATTGAATATTGTTGACGTGAAAAAAATTAAAACTTAGCAGATTAATAAAACAAACATTTTCTTTTTTAACGATACGTAATTTTTGTGTATCGTACCGCTAATATCACGTCCATTCTTCTGCATCAATGGTATTGTACCTACACTATTGTAAAAATGATTCCTAGCTTTTCCGTTAGGATCGTGCTTACTATGGAAAAGCTTTTTTTTTTCGTATTATATTTCAAAAGCTTTTTTGTCAAGTGCCAAAAGTAAAAAGCATCCGTAATATAATACTTACTCTATTATCAAAATATTTAATAGGCCTATCTATCTATTACTGAAGAATAGTAGAAATATTAGGTATAAAAAGATGAAATTGCTCATGCTCACCTTAACATACACTATCATAGTAAAATTCAAGACAATCTAAACAATGATGAAGACGTTGATGTTTGTATCATTCATTGAGTTATTAACAAAACAGACTTCCAAGAAGTTAATTTATGAACTTTTGGACTAAAAAGTCATAGCGAAGGCAAAAAATTATTGAAAAGTTCTGGTATTAGTCAAGTTGCTGAAACAATGTTTTGAAAATTATTTTTATGAATTGATGGATTCTGTTTTTAAGAGAAATTCGTAATTTGACTAATACATACTGTGTGTACAGGTATGTGAACAAGCTATAACTTGTTTATGTGATGAATCAAGGCTAACAACTACATCCGTTTGTAAAAAAAAAACAAAACGATTTCACAATTCGAAATACTTTAAAATGCTTTATATGAAGAAAATGTTTATGACGTAATAATAAAGCATAAAGGTGAATTTTAGAACTTATTTGATTATAAGTCACGTCTACTTAAATTTTTCGTACAACTTATACTAAAGCACAATAGATAGTCGTAAAATGGACCAATTAGACAAGGTCCTCTTATTGGAGCCTTTCAATTTTTTATACTCCAGAGCCCAGGCAATTTTCTTTTAGATTTAACAGATATAATTGCTGAAAATTATTAAACGAGAATTCCTAGATTCGTCGAAAAGAAAAAGCCCTTTCCTGTAACATACTTCAAAGAACTGGTTATTAATAAGAGACAGTAAAAGATAGTTTAATAGGCCTAGGCTGATAATATTGCACTAAAGAAATTTATTGGTATTAGGTACTATATCTATCAATACGTATACAAATATAGATATTATTTATTATATTTCCTTGTTTGGTTAATAAATAATAAGCACCTCTATAAATAATATATATAATATCGAAATTCAGCGAAAAAACTGCTTTCATTTTCGCTTAATTGTAAGGCATAAAAAAATGCCAAAAAAAAATTATTAATGTGTAATTTATATGTTCGGTAAAGCTTTCGCCTTACCTATATAACAGAGAAGCAACGTTCAACAATAAGATTCACTTACTATAGTTTAATTGTAGGTAATTACCGAATACACGAGTGTAACTATCGCAGGAGTATGAGAGAGACAGCTGCTGATTTCAAACTAAACTAGTTCACTTCAAAGGCTACTAATTGATATAATTACCGGTAATACAAGAGTAGTGGAAACCTATTCTACAATAGTTCAATTATCGTTTCGTTTATTCACATTTGCTCCTTATTATAGTATTCTATCCTTGACTAACTAACTAATAGGGCTAAAAATGATTATTTATTTAGTCCTTTTGATCAAAATATTTCTGTGCTGTATTTAGTATCTTTATGCACTTCTTATAGTGTAGACATTAGTTTTAAACTATCTGTCGATATAGTTCACACCTATTTTTATAGTTAAATTAATAAGCTAGTATTATTCGTGCCTATACTTGGTTCTAATTTAGGATAATCTCGAAACCCATAGTATATCCATTAAAACCGAGGAAGAGGCTGCTTGATTTTTGCACTTCTTATAGTGTAGACATTAGTTTTAAACTATCTGTCGATATAGTTCACACCTATTTTTATAGTTAAATTAATAAGCTAGTATTATTCGTGCCTATACTTGGTTCTAATTTAGGATAATCTCGAAACCCATAGTATATCCATTAAAACCTAGGAAGAGGCTGCTTGATTTTTGGTAACCTAGGAAGGGGTTGTATTCTGTCTACCACCCTTTATCTAATGGAGCCCAATTTAAATCGCAGTTTACATGTAAAGACAAATGCAGATGTTAATTTGTGGTGTGATGTCTTCTAAAATTTCTAAGTTTCTTGTTAAAAAAAGGCCGCCCCTAAACTAAGCTTTCCATGAGACGCATAATAATATTTATATATAAATTCTCTTCAATTTGCCACTCAAATTATTTCTAGTAATTCGTTATCAATTAAAAAACCTTCAGTTTAAGCGTTATCATGGTATATATTTAGTGATCGTTCAAAAATATCAAAGGGGTCAACCATGTGAAATACATCACTCAAGATTTCACCTTTTTGGATACCTCCTTCTCCCTCTTAACACAATTTCACCCTAACAAATATTACGTCACAAAAGCTAGTCCACCCCTTTATAAACGTTTTCTTGTGATTAAAAATAGCAATGAGAATGATTTTCTATCATAATAAAAAATCTTAAGAAGTGCCAAGTTAAGAAACACATTATATGAAATTTAATTTTATGAACAACCCCAAACTCTTAATTATATACTTTAAACATTCCAGAGCTACTTTTAAACATATTCATTGTATATCTCATACAGATTTTGACTTTTTAATTAAAAGAAAACCATAATTCATATTTTAAAAGAAACAATTAAAAAGAAAGGAATAATGTGAGCAGTCGCCAAATCGCGAACCGCCAACCGGCAAATTATTAATTTCACATATTAATCACAACATAAACTCGAATGCGTCGCGTCGTGCTGTTGAAGACAAGACCAAGGTTACGAGATCGATTGTCGAACGGTTGACAATTGTCTCTTTTCTATTTCTCTCTTTCTCTTCAAGCGCCAAGTGCAGGCAGCATTGATTAAAAAGCGCGCGTTTGCCCCTTCCTAGCTTCCTCTTACGCATTTCCGTTAAATTCACAAAATCTCTCCCATGGATGGATATTACACATCAAAAAATGAGAAATAAAGAACGAACAGATTTTTGTATTCCAAGACCTACGTTATATTTGGAGAAGCTTCGTCTGGGTATGCCAAAAAGAAACAAATTGTTCTTCAGCATCAGAAAATTTATTGTATACTAGCTTTTCCCCGCGGCTTCGCTCCCAGAAATTAATATTCTTTCTCCATAAAACCTTTTAGCTCCCAATTCAGCCTTACAACGTTTTAATTTTGTGTAATGTCGCCATCTTTCAAATACAAACGCAGCAACAACATTTCATCCTTAAGGGTTGATTTTTAAAAATTGCCAAAACACGTATTTGCTTAATTTCAGCAATGAGCATCCTTCGAGTAAATCCGAGTACAAATAAAATGTACCCCATGGAAACGTTGCAACCTCTTTTCATTTGATTAATAATATCAAACAGCATATATACCAAGTTTCAAGTAAATTCAACCATAAATAAAGTATGTCCCAAACAAAAATAGATGCTTATCATTTTATGTCTTCACGTTGTTGTATTTTGCGCTGAAGATTTAGATACACGCGTTTCTTTAAGCAGTTTCGTGATAGTCATTTCAAGGTAGATGAATTTTAACATCGCCGTATTTCATCGACTCTTTAATTTCCATGTCATCCTCGTGCATACATGGACACAAAATCACTTCCGCTCGCAGAGGTACCCTACGCAATCCATGCTTTGCGATAATTACGCGGTCAGCTAATAAATCGAATAGTTTATTGCATAAGCGCGATGTGTTTTGATTTTTTTCTCATATAAAGTATAGAGCCGCCGCAATTTTGCATCCACGGCGTATCTTTATTATAAGGGATCGGTGCGTCGCGCCACACCAGGCGCCTAACAGTAATATTATGTGCTTACGTCATAACTCAATCTTCTTGTAAATTGTATTTTTTCATATGCGTAATGATAAGAACAAACACATATAATAATAGATTTTCGAATGATTTGGGAAACTGTGGGATGTTGAATACCTAATACAGATGTCTCGTAATTTAAGATTGAAAACATATCTGAACATTGTGTTACGGTGTTTTAAATAAGTACTTATAATAATTACCAAATCTGATATCAATACTAACATATAATTAGTAGTTTTGGTCACCATATCTACTAAATTGATTCTAAAAATTCTTTAACTGATATAATTAAATTAAGGCTACATTATTAGTGTTCGAGATCAGATTATTTGTAAATCAAAAGACAATGAATACCCTCAAAACACAGTAGCATATAAGTATCAAAAATGATTCATTATTAACTACTTAAAATGGATTACAAATATTAAAACCAAGATTTATCAGGCAAGGTTAAGTGATTTTTTAATTTAATTAAATGTCATTCCATATGGAGGTATACTACAGGTAATTATATCCGGTACTTCAAATGTTTACTAATTTCCAATCTTTATCATTATAATGTCTTCAGTCCGAAGATTGGTTACATCGTCTTCCACTTTTTCCTACACCTTGAACCAATCTTCGCACTTTTGAAAACAAGAGCAATCTACATCTCTAACTATTTGCTCCACTTAACTCCTGTTTATGCTTCTAATATGTCTTTAACTACCTTTTTATTTCCGAGAAGGCACTTATTTCTTATTGACTTCCATACCCTCTGTCCTCCTACTCTTTCCATTCCTCATTTCTAACATTTTCTGTCCACGTTATTTTTAACTTTTATCTAATACGAGGGTGGATTGATAAGTTTCGGGCCTAACCAAGAGATGACGCCACTAGGCCTACCTTGAGGTGACATTCTATAGTACCATCCTTGGATAGCTTGTAGCTATAGTTTCAGCCCGATCTCCTTGCTAGTGTAGGTTTGACAGCACGCTGAACAAGACGCCTCTGTGGTTTTCGTAAAAATGGAAAAGCAGGAAAATCGTGCTGTCATCAAATACTTTTATTTGAAGGGGTTAACGCCGAAGGAAATTAAAAAAGAGATGGACTCAACACTGGGGACATCCTCCCCGTCATATTCAACCGTTAAGCAGTGGGTTTCCGAGTTTAAAAAGGGTCGTGTGAGCACCTCTGATGGGCCTCGCTCAGGACGCCCCGTTGAGGTCACAACTCCAGATATGATCGAAAAAATTCATCAAATAGTGCTGGGAGACCGCAGATTGAAAGTGCGTGAGATAGCTGAGACCTGTAAGATGTCATATGAACGTGTGCAACATATTTTGCACCAACATTTGCATATGGAAAAGCTCTGTGCAAGATGGGTGCCGCGTTTGCTAACAGTCGACCAAAAATTGATTCGAAAAAACATTTCTACCGCAAATTTGTCATTGTATAAGCGTAATCCAAGCGAATTTTTGCGTCGATTCGTAACCGTTGACGAAACGTGGGTCCACCACTACACTCCTGAAACCAAAGAACAGTCTAAACAGTGGATTGGACCAGGGGAACCAACTCCAAAGAAGGCAAAAACAATTTTTTCGGCGAACAAGGTTATGGCTACTGTTTTTTGGGATGCAAGAGGTATTATATACATTGATTACCTTGCAAAGGGTAATACTATCACTGGTCAATACTACGCAGACTTATTGCAACGTTTGAGCCACGAGGTGAAAATTAAACGACCTCATCTGGCGAAGAAAAAAATCTTGTTTCATCACGATAACGCACCAGCGCACACGTCAATCGTTGCGACGGCTAAAATCAACGATCTAAAGTTTGAATTGATGCCGCACCCTCCTTACTCTCCAGACCTAGCCCCGAGTGACTATTTTCTGTTCCCTAATCTCAAAAAATGGCTTGGCGGTAAGAGATTTGCGGACAATGAAGAAGTAATCGAAGCTGTAAATGGTTATTTTGAGGAGCTTGACGAATCAGTCTATAGAGATGGCATTAATAGACTGGAACACCGCTATGAGAAATGTATCAGCCTTGGAGGAGATTATGTTGAGAAATAAAAAAAAAAATTTTTTAAAAACCTTGTTTTTCTTGGTCAGGCCGGAAACTTATCAATCCACCCTCGTATAACACCACACCTCAAACGTTTCCATATTTTCTTTCTTATTTTAATAGGGATATATTGTGTATTAAGTACAATGTTATACACAGCCTGACCCCTGACTATAATTATTGTCTCTAGACTAATAAGTAAAAACATTTGTAGGACTTACATTTGCTGGTTATGAACATGTCGTTGCCCCTTTGAAGCTGAATATTCTCCACTGAAAAAAAAAATACAAGAATTAGAATTATTAAATCTAATAGTTTATTTTATTTTTATTTGTAAAACTTCCAAAATACATAATTACATTACATGATAACTTAAATCCGCTTTCACATGTTACGTACAGTTTTCCTTCATAAAGCTGTAATCGAATTTAAGCTAAATGTTCTTATATTCTTATTTCAATTAAACTCACACTTTAGCCTATATACGATTTGTATTAATACTTCGCTCTTTGCATTTAACATATCTTTTTGATATTACAATTATACATTTGTTACAGATGACGAGATGAATAGGAAGCCGATTGGAAACCAAATCTTTGGTTGTTTCTTGAGTAAATTACCTCATCACTATAAAACAATTACACACAAAATGGGATCGTTACTTTTCTTCTTTTGAGAATCGGATTAAAATAGCGAGTGTACTGTGACATATTAAATACGGTAAATTACCATGAACTATTTAATTAATTGGTTATATAAAAATACCTTACAATATAGTGGAAGATTAAAGGAACTTAAAAGGTTTCGAAGGTTTGTTGTTTTTGTTTGTACCTAAGGACTTTTTGACTTTTAAATCAATATTCCTGTACATCTGTAGAATCAACAGGAACTAGTTTAAAAAATTAGACAAAATAGTGCAATTTTCGGGTAGTGCTCTAAATGATAACATGCTAAAAGAACGCGACTCGTTGGATGGTCACCATAACAACGGAGCGTCGTCTCCTTGTTCCAGTTTAAGAGGACCTAGTGGTGCTGTGATATGTGCAGCGTGCAGGGACCGCATCCATGACCGATATTACCTCTTGGCGGTGGACAGGCAATGGCATGCCCACTGCCTCAAGTGCTCCGAATGTAAATTACCCCTGGACTCCGAAGTCACGTGTTTTGCCCGTGAGGGTAACATTTATTGCAAAGAAGACTACTATCGGTAAGTTACACCGAACATATACGTATATAGTGTAATGTTTGTGGGTTTAACAAAATTAACTAAGACTGATAACGACAAAAACTATTTATTTATACTAATTATTAAAGAACTTAAAAANTAATGTTGTGGGTTTAACAAAGTTAACTTCTTAGACTGATAACGACAAAAACTATTTATTTACACTAATTATTAAAGAACTTAAAAACACTATTAAATTATTACTAAACTTAGGTTATGAATTATTTTATTTATTTACAGTACTGTTGATATATCACTGTGCTATTTATTTAACTGCTATCACTGTCAATTTATTTCCGGATTCACTTCTGCATTAGTCAATTTATTTCGTCTCTTCTCGGCAATCGTCTCTTCCTTTAAATACTCATTTGTTTACTTTCGGGAACCTTCCAGAAACATCCGGATAGTTTATTTTTTCTTTAAACTGTTTAACTGCAGAACGCAGGTGCGACACACACATTTACAAATACGGCGCACATGAAGGAATGCGCCTGCCGTTAGTTGGCGAATCGATAAGTCGTTCACGCACACGTGTGCCCGATCGCACATAAACACATTCGTGCTCGCTGCAATAGATGCAGAGTGATGGCAAAATTATGGAATCGGGAAGAAAGCGGTAAAAGGATTGATGACCGGTGCCCAGGATTGACTCTCCTTCTTTATATAGCTTTAGCTGTTTGTTGTAGTCCTCATTTGTATATAAGCTGTATCCTCGAACTTTCCGAAAGAGGAGGTTCAATCCGGAATCACAGCCCTCAAACTATAATACTGAATTCTCTTCAAATAATGCCTATCGAAAATGCCATAGTCGTTTCATATTTTCAAGAAAACGCTTACATGCTACAACTTAGGTATAAAGATAACTTCACATTAATTTTGAAAATTCTTACCCCTCGACGTGTTGAGTACACACGTATTTAGGGTGATATAATTAGAGGAATTTGCAAAGTCTACGAGTCATTATATTTATCGCAAAATGATTACTAATGTTGTCATCTTGGTCGCAAGAATCCGTTTTTCCTTAGCGCCTCAAAATTCAATTAAGTTATGTGACCTCGTGAAACACGTTGTCGATGCAATTAAAACAAAAGTGGAAGCTGACTAAATGCGCCAGATAAAGCAATAAGAATCTGATATCTTCTATAAAATCAAACAACTAGCTATTTCCATCCAGTCGAGAAATTTATTCAGTAGAAAAAAAGGCGGCTGTTATTCACGATCGGACAGAAAATATTTGGACCCAATTAGTCGAAATTGATATTCTTTGTTTCTGGTAGAAAACATCTGATGTAGGTATTTATATTTTTTTGTTCGTTGATTTCAATGGCCATCGTCAATTCAACGAAACGGAGACTTTTCATTCATTGTTGTCCCAATTTTTATTTGTCAAGACGGGCCCGTCGCTTAGATGTTACGTAATAAATATAAGACGCGGTATTTTAATAGCAAATCATTAAAATAGTTCCTGTTTTTATTCCTGCTCCTGTATTGGAATTTTATAATTTGATGTTATATATTGATATCAGAAACAGTCCCATCCTAATCCTTGAAAGTGAATTTATATCCATCGACGTCTATGCAAAAATGCTAAAGTAGAATGGATGAATTCACAAAAATAGATATCTTAGAATTAATTTTCGACTGAAAATAGTTTATTTTAACTATTGCAAACCCTGTTGCAATTTATTATCTCAAAAATAGGGTTTGTTGTATAAAAATATACAATTATAAACGGAAACACTACTGGAACCACTGATGATGTTCATTTACTTATTTATTTAATAAGGAAAAGACGAGATAGGTTGGTACGTCATGGAGAGCTAACCAGAAACTAGCTAGAAGCAGCAACAGGAATTAGGATGAGTATAGGTAGATCTAGAAGAGATTATTGTCCACAGATAGTTAAGGATGTGGGATGTTCTAGTTTTTGGGAAATGCGAAGATTAGCTCAAGATAGGAAAGAGGGAAAGTGTGTGTCCAACCAGTGTAAAAACTGACAACCTTATGATGATAAGGTCCAATAGCTTATAAGGGTCAATAATAGGACAAATAAACAAGTAAGAACCCGACTAGAATTTTTGAAGAACATCAGCAAGAATAGGAGAACAGAGAACTCTATGGAAGTCAATAAGAAATAGGCGAGACAGGTTGGTAGGAAACCTTTTTAGGCACGAAGGTCTAGTCAAAGACTAATTAGAGGCAAGAACAGGAGTTAAGAGATTTAGATTACATTACTGTTCATAAAGAGTTAAGGATGTGGGATGTTATAGTTTTGGGGAAATGCGAAGATTAGGCTAGGATAGGAAAGAGTGGTTGTGCGTATCCAACCAGTCTTAGGATTAACGACCTTATGATAATGATGATCAGCTAGTGTCCCAACGAGGTTAGCCACACTGCTTGGTGTAAATCCCATACAAAGCGGAGGGTACGCTACACTATAAATACCGCATGTTCTCCACCTGAGGCATGACCTAGAGGTTTAGATCATTGCTTAACATTCGGGAGGAGGGCCCGTCTGCCTTGGTCCAAGTTCTTCTGTGATTTTATTGGATCACTTAGGCTAATGCTGGGGCAGTAATATTCCTCAGATAATCTTTCATTCTCTTCTGTATTCATTTCGTCCGTCTCATCTTTCTCACCCGATCCACCACCCACTCATTCCCACGATTCCTGAAAGCAGGCTGAAGAGGGCCTTCCGCCCTACCTTCCGGCATAGTCCGGAGGGACTATCCGTCCACCAGCATTACTGGCTGGTGGGAATGAAACATCCAAAAGTTTTTTTTTAACCTGAGGAAAAATGATCGCTATATACCTGCTTTTAAACTAATTTGAGAGTATCAGTTGGATTATACCACTGATGATTTTCAAATATGGTTCACTAGGAGATTACCACAAATATGTATAGGAATAGTTTGCTACATTCGATGCTTGTCTAATAGTTGAATCCTAATAAGGAGGATGGTGGGATTGCTCACTTTTTTGTATATGGTTATACATACATGTGTTTTCCCTCACAAGACCCTCATGAAAACCTATACGTATAAGTTAATTACCCCCTTTCTTCAGTATCCTTAATTTCTTTTGTGGGCAAGTCCCTCTATCGGCATGTCCTCGTTAACCACATAAGACCCACACGCAACATGAAACATTTGCCCCCTATTCCCCTATAAATTCTGGTCGGGTATTGAATCGGTAACTAAAAAGAATTAAATTAAATTAACATATGATTACAAATACTATGCTATATTCACTTAGACCACGGCCTTATAGCCCGAATCTTCATTCTACTATAAATTCCGGCCGTGAAAGCCTTTGTTCTTATACTATGCTATATGCCATCTTCAGTGTAGGTTTTCAACAGTATTTTGTAAAGTTACTGTGGTTAGGTCAGCGAAGTATCTGATGTTAGACTTTGAACTGAACAATGAGTTTTCAAGTTGTCCCCCTTGTTCCTATATGTGTAAGCCTGTAATAAGTTACCCACCGAAATAAAACGAGATAGGGATCGGTGGAGGTGTATTATCAAAAATGTGTTCTGAACTTGTACGGGTTGGAAACTTTGAACTTCACATCACACACGCTTCGTTAAATTTGCATTGAGTTCATTGAAAGTACTTGTAGCGGCGTAATTAACATTCGATATGAACATGAATAAATGACTATAGGTAATGCATACCGCCATTTACTATGTGTAGAAAATAGTTTGCTATTGTACCTACTTATTTATGTGTTTATTATTTACAAAAATAAACACTGTACTATAAGTACATATTTATTTAAAATAATAAATCTATTAGAGTTTTTAGCAAACTTGCTGTCCTCAACCTATTTATCCAAAATAATAATTTCAATTCTTTATTATAAACGTTATGAAATATCTATTTTTAAAATGAAGTGGTCTGTATTTTGTCGAAACTGCCAGACGCGGATCGCGATTTCGATCTTTTTGGATCTCATCAGCGCGTCGCAGGCAGCTTCGACAGAACACAGACCAACTTTTACCTGCTGTCTTAATAGTGCTTTTTCGAAAATACTACAAATGGCGGAGTAAACGCCATCTGTAGCACGATGCTACATTTTAGAATTATGTATGCTCTGTCGGAGCTGCCTGCGACACGCTGATGAAATCCAATAAAATCGAAATCGCGATCCGCGTCTGGCAGTTTCGACAGAACACAGACCACTTCGAATTATTTCATTCCTCTATTTCTTCTTTAGAAAATCGTTTCTGTGATAAAACTGGAAACAAAATACGTATGTCCAAAAACCACGATCTGTTTTCCCTTCAGTACAGCATGAATAGGTAAATACTTAGAAACCTAAAATTCCACAAAACGTTTTGACAACAAAAAAGAGTTTCTACAACCAAGGTATCATCGTCAGTTAGAGTCTTTACTTTTAGGTTTGAAACAGTGGGCGCGGCGAAAAAGAAAAGGTTAGAAGCGTTCGATATATGGTATTACAGGCGAATGAAGAGGATACCGTGGATAGAGAAGGTTAGAAATGAAGACGTATTAGTAAGAGGACTATGGAAGTCAATAAGAAATAGGCGAGATAGGTTAGTAGGACACATTTTCAGGCATGAACGTCTAGTCAGAGACATATTGGAGGCAGAAACGGAAGTTAGGAGGGGTAGAGGCAGACCTAGATTAGATTACTGGTTGCAAATAGTTGAGGATATGGGTTGTTCTTTGTTAGTTTTAGCGAAATGCGAAGATTAGATCAGAATAGGAAAGAGTGGAGATGCGTGTCCAACCAGTCTTAGAACTGACGACCTTATTATATTGATGATGATGAAACGTTTTCTGGAATTCTGGTGTGTTTGCTTATTTACCCGTTGCACAGCACTACTCAATTATATCTTGAATAATAACATAAACAGACAAATTGGTAAAGGCTTTCCTGGCCTCTAGGTGAACTGATGCTGTTTTGATTCGGGTTTAAAGGTCATCGACAGTTGGAGTCATTTCCTAATGTTTCGCTAACGCGAGTGGCTAACTTCTTCGGAGGTCCTTCTATCTCCAATGTTGGATGTGGACGTGGCCTTAGGACCCGAATCAAGACAGCATCAGTTTTTGACATAGACTTGAATTTAGAAACCCCTGGCGGACAGACAAGTCATGGAGAACGTTGTCACATCAACCCCGAAAACAGTAGAGTACTAGGAAACCTAGTAGCTTTCGAATTCTTCATGCAATTATAACCGTAAAAGAAAAAACTTAGATAGTAAAACTGTCACATTATGTACACTCCTTCCTCCTTATTCTCCCTTGAAATTTTACATTATCTAGAAATATCTTAAAGTAAATAGGAGAATTCACCAAAGATCAATTTTATTTTTCTCATAGACGCTTAGGAAACAGGTATTAAGTTCACTATTGATAAATGAAGCCTGCGTTTGGTATCAATCAGTTTCTCAAGAGGTATGTTTATGACATGTTACAGTTTGACTCCCACGTTTTGGGGTGGGTAACAAAACGGTTTTCTTGTAAGACGACAGATTCGCTTTCAACAACGGCGTAGCGGTTCGAATTACACGGTCAATTTGGTCGCGAAGGTGCTTCGTTATTTTGTGAGATAGCCGGTAACAAGCGCGAGAGGGTGATCATCATTCAAAAATTAAATTAAGTGGTCCAACGAGCCGGACAGACCGTGCGTTTGATAGACTCGTCATAATTTGTATTTTGGTTGTTATGACATGTTCCGATAAGACATTTTAATAGTGACAAACAGTATCGGCGATGTGGATCTTCTGCCGTACCAACGGACACACGGACTCTTCGAAAAGTGTCCAAACGATTTGAAGCCTTATTAATTTACTTCCTATGGACTGTTTGTCGTTCGGTTCCGTTTTTTCCTCTTTTCATTCGATGTGACAGTTACCTTATGGCCGCACCTGTCCTTCACATGTCCTTACACGATTGTATACATCATACGACGTTGTGTCGATCGGTCGTATCGTCGATTTTCTAACGCGATAAAACCGTTAAACGAAGCTTATAATTTTTGTAAGGAATTGTGCGTACAGCCAGTGAATCGTTCTTGTTTATTCGAATGAGGACGATCTTATCGTCGACACGAACATATGCGAACGTATTATACTTGTATGCGACTTGTCCATATGTTAATCGACTTATTCGCTGCAACGTTTTATATGAGCGTTAAAGATGTACAAGGAGATAATTATATAAAAAGAGCGAGAAGTTATATCTTAAATTTTATCTTTGGAGATTCCAAAAAAATCACTCTTCAACGTAGTACTTACTGGCATTTCATTATTAAAGATCAGCTGAACATTTACGTTTTATGTATGAATATGCAACCAACTATACAGCTCTGAAGACATTTAGACCCGCTCACTGTTTCCCCGTTATTTTTTTCGAATTGGAATACGTCAAAAGACTACCCTTTAATTAAAGATTCGTATTAAAAGAAAACGTCTTGGAAATTTAATGTATATAGGCCTATGACATAATTCGATGTTTTAATTGAACCTTTTAATAGAAAATACCACAAATGGCGTGGTAAACGCCATCTGTAGTACGATGCTACATTTTAGGATTACGTATGCTCCAACAAGGTCCATTTAAATATGTGGATTTCTACTTGCTGAAACGAATCCCGACGTAGCTAACCTCAACGTGATAGGCACGTTACCATAATCGAATAAAATAATTCGAAGTGGTCTGTATTCTCGCCATTTGTGGTATTTTCTAAAACGCGCTGTTAAGGCAGCAGGTTAAAGTTGGTCTGTGTTCTCTTGGAGTTGTCTGCGACGTGCTGATGAGATCCAACAAGATCGAAATCGCTATCTGCGTCTGGCAGTTTCGACAGAATACAGACCACTTCGAATTATTTTAAATCTTTTAATGTTTTAATAATCGGCTACTACAAGAATTGGAAGTGATTGCAGCAACCGTTATAATTGCAAGGCAAAAACAATTTTTTAACGTTTTAATTCGCAAATATCTTAATGGAAGAGTGAAATTTGACCGTTTTAACCACCAAGAACTGAAGCAATCAAATTACAATAGAATGTTATATTGTATGACACCAACCAGCGAGGCAGATTTTCATTTTTAAAATTACCTAATCTAACTAAATTACGATTAATATTAGGCTAGTAATCATCTCTCAAATAAAATGGATACATTTACGTTTTTAATTAAATATTTTTTAATTAGAAAATAATGAACAAGTAAAAGGTGACAGAATTACGACGACAAAATATATGTGTTAAAAAACAGATTCACATCGTGTATCTGTTTGATGTCTCAGTAAGTAATAATAATTACTTTTACGTGTTTGTAAACAGCAATTAACTGCATAATAAAATCATGCATATTTGATGAAGTTTCCGTGATTTGCATTTTTAGAGTTGTTAAAATCGTGGATGCTTTTCGAGTAGCGAGCCCACAAAACAATCAGGACGCACCTGTTTGTTCATACAGTGAAAGGGTATGAAAAGGTCAATATTAATTAACGCCTTATTAGTGTAAAAATTCGTAGTTTGTATTTTGTAGAACAAACAAACGCGTTAATTTGATGAGATGAAAATGAAATAAAATTACTTTCGTAGTGAAAACAATGTGAATGAAAAGCTTCAAAAACACATGTTGGCTCCCAGCAGTTAGGTGCCTACCAGTGATAGGTACATTATACGTTGTTTAAACGCAATATAAAAACACCAGCTGTGTTTTCTTTCAAAATTTTGTAATTATCTTTGATTTTGTACTACTATAACAAACTTCCCAATGTTTACATATTAACTCATCCAATTTAACTTGACATACCATATAAGTTACTAGCTACTAACAACTATTAATTTATTAAAAAGAATGCACCAATTAGTCATTTTGGGACAAATGTGGAATATGCATGAGAAATTATTTTATGAATAAGAGTGGTGAGGGATCTACCTATATTTTCTACATTTTTGAACACAAAAATTGTCATTAAATGTTGGCTGACATGCAATCCTAACTAATATTATAAATGCGAATCTGTTTGTTTAATTGTTTGTTTGTTTGCTACTATTTCACACCTTACCTACTCACCCGATCATCGAGACATTTTGTAAACACATTGTCAGAGATACAAAAAAGGACATAGGGTACCTTTTATCCAGAAAAAAAAACTCTCGTTGAAGGATAGAAATGTACCATGACAAAAAAAACACTTTTGGGTGTTTCATTCGCACCAGCCAGTAATGCTGGTGGGCGGGCAGTCCCTCCGGACTATGCCGGAAGGTAGGGCGGAAGGCCCTCTTCAGCCTGCTTTCAGGAATCGTGGGAATGGGTGGGTGGTGGTTCGGGTGAGAAAGATGAGACGGACGAAATGAAGACAGAAAAGAATGAAAGATTATCTGTGGAATATTATTGCCTCAGCATTTGCCTAAGTGATCCAAGGAAACCACAGAAAAACTTGGACCCAGGCAGACGGAGCCGGAATTGGTCTAAACCTCTAGGCCATGCCGATTGGTTCTTTGACAAGAATTTGGGACATCAACGCGAGCGAACCCACGAGTAAAATCTTTTATGAAATGTTATACATATGTTACATTGTCAGGGGTACAGAAAATGACATAGGACACCTTTTATCCAGAAAATAATACTGTTCCAAAGGGATAGAGAAAATTCGTTTTATGTGGTCGACGATGATCTTCTTTAGCACAGCGTCTTTAGCACATCAACGCGAGTGATGATGCCAGTAAAATTTATCATGAAATTTTGTATACCCATTGTTAAGGGTACAGAAGGTGACATAGGGCATCTTCTATCTAGAAAAAAACAACGTTCCTGAGGGAGAGAGTTTCCTAGATAATTAGAAAAAGAACTAAATCGCAATCATAACTTAGCTTATTTTAAAAAATATTAATTTATTTTATATCTACTGTCCGTTTAAAACGAAAGAGTTTTTAGTGTATTTTATTTTTCCCTGTAGGTAAAGACGAGGTTCTAAAGATGACTACAGTTTCATTATGAATATTGACCACTGATAAAGTATTGTTTATATCTTTTTAGTTTGTACGGTGTAACAAGATGTGCTCGTTGCCATGCTGGTATAACTTCAAACGCGTTGGTAATGAGAGCAAGAGACCTAGTTTACCACATAAACTGTTTTTACTGTACTTCTTGCGGAATACCATTGTCAAAAGGGGATCACTTTGGAATGAAAGCAGGACTTATATATTGCAGGTAAAATACTTTTCTATAATTTCTATAAGAATATTGTTTTTGGTATTGAAATAATTGTTGAATTAGTATCACTTAAGCGACCATTAAGATTTTTTTTTAAACCCCTTAATAGCTATCACAAATCTTAAAAAAATCTTTTGGGGGTTTCTTCCCAACTTGGATTATAATGTTATTAGGCGGGCATTCTTCCGACCTGCAGTCTAGTGCAAAGCCGGAGTGGAGGTCGGAAGGATCTCTTCTTCGGCTTTCTGTGAGGATGGAAGAAATAGATGAGTGGCGAATGGGGAAAGACAAATGAGAGACGAATGAAATGAAGACAGTAGGGAAATGAACGATTTCTGTGGAATATGGCTGCTCCGGCATTTACATACATAATCAAAAAATGGGTTTAGGATTTTAATAATTAGTTTATGGTGCACACATACAAAACCAAGTGTTTTGCTGTTTTCTAAATTATTATTATTTATAACAAGTTTAAATTTGTTTAATCACTTTCTCTGTGTCAAAAATTGTTTGAAAAATTAAATTTAAAGGAATTGTTTGTAAATAGGTATGCAACACATCGTACACTTCAGCATAAGAAATTGCTGATACTAACTACGTAATACTTTGCCCTGTGCTGACAGCACTCATATTTCTTTTATATATATATTATGAAAATTTAAATGTACTTTATCTAATATGTGGATCTATATGAAGGTTTCTGTTTCATTTCAGGCCACATTATGAACTTTTAGAATACTGTGAACCAAGAGACCTCTTTCGAAGAAGCGAATCTCCTGGTTCGGGTTATTTTTCTCCTGTAGCAACACAAAATCAAAAGGGAAGACCGAGGAAAAGAAAATTCGGTCCAGAACTCGATCCCACCTGTGGCGAACTTTCAGTCGTCCCTATGCGAATGACTGCAGCAGCTTTAGGTGAGTTATAAATATATTTTATGTAATCCCCAAGTTCTTAAGCGTATCCATATGTGGAGTATGTGCAGCTAATACATATTCAGGTGGATTTCCCAGCTGATCTGATAATTGTAACAAGAATATGTATAAAATATTGAAAAATAACAGGAAATTGGTAAGAATACTCTGCGAACCATTTTACAAAATGAATATTGTTTAATAAATAATTACGATAATGAAATTTGCCATACTAAAAATTGAACTATTCTTGTAAAACTCAAAAATTAATCAACTAATGTCAACACTAGGAGAAGAATGCCGGAACCTGCATCATTCCCAGGTAGTTTTCAAGTTTCTCTTTGGTGTTCTTTCTCTGTACGGTATGTAACTGGTTTCTTTACTTAACTGTTTAATTCGGAATATTGAAAAAAATTCGAAATTTGCTCGATTCATTTAACACTTATCGTCAAAAAAGACACCGCTATTGAATAGAAACGCATAATTGTCCTTCTTGCTGCGCCACTGGCGATATCCTGGCGACTTTCGATGGCAGTTTTATAAAAGGATAACAGGGCAAATGTAACGATGTTTTATGGGCACTGATATACATATACATATTGCGGTGGATGGAATGTACACATTTTTCTACCGCCATAGCGTCGGACCAATTGGCTACCGATTTCCAGTTATCCAATCGACGATCTGTGGATACTTTTCATCTGTCAACACGGCTTAGTCCGGCCACCCACCGTCAAAGCGAGAACATAAATAAAAGGACGATAGTTGACGGCATTCGAATTGGGGAACTCGCTTTCGGGAAGCCAATAAAACGAATCCGTTTTTCGATTTCGCCGCTTGCTTGTCCATTCGAAGGCCGCCGCGGTTTGCGTTGGCGAGTTCCGCCACTGAATAGAAGCACTGACAATGCTTCAGCATACCTAAGCATACTTTACATGTATCTATCTACACAAAATGCGCAAATCTACTCTTGCTTTTTTGTATTGATTTCCTTGAATATTAATATAGACGTATTTTAGCAAAAGTTCAAGAAATTATAATTTTTCTGTAGACAGTGGCCGAAAACTTCGAATAAAACGTTTCATCAGTTTAGACTCTAGATATATTGTAATGTTCGTGGGTTTAACAAATTAACTTTTAAGACTCACAACGATAAAAACTATTTATTTACACTAATTATTATTAAAGGACTTAAAAACACTATTAAATTATTGCTAAACTTAGGTAATTATTCTATTTATTTACACTACTGTCACTATTCACTGTGCTATTTATTTCTTTGTTCACTTCTACAACGGTCAATTTATTTCTGGATTCACTTCTACAACGGTCAATTTATTTCTGGATTCACTTCTGCAACGGTCAATTTATTTCTACTCTACTCTAGGCGATCGTCTCTTCCTTTATATACTCTTTTGTGTCCTTTCTGGAACTTTCTCGAGCCGTCCGGAAAAGTTTCGTTTTCTTTGAACTGTTTAATTGCTTTCCCGAAACGCAGGTAGGACACACACGTTTACAGATACGGTCCACATGAAGAAAGGCGCCGCAAATCGATAAGCCGCTCACACACACGTATGCCCGATCGCACACAAACACGCTCATGCTCGCTACAATATCAATAATTATCGACATATTGATAACAATATTAGCAACTGATAACTGTCGATATATCGGTGACTGTCATTGTCTGCTTCGATATATGGATATACTCGATAATTATCGGCAGTTGAAAAGGTGTTAGCTATCCCTAGACATAGATCCTGTTAAAATATGAGCCTCTATATTAATACTTACAGGAGACATTTTGCAATTTTCTATTTCCCATTTCAATAACATAGCAATTATTTTTTTTAATTTTGGAATTTTATAATTCGACTACGAATTATTGTACAAGAATGAGGAAGGCATTTTTTGTAGGAAATTAAACACTGCATAAGAAAGATTTTCATATGTTTAGCTGTTATATATCGTTAGTTATCGATATATTTGATAACCATCAATAGTTATCAATATATCAATAAATTTTCATTGATAATGTAATTATTGATAACAACCAATAATTATCGAATATATCGATAACGGGGTCATTATCCTAAAAAAGGTGCCGGAAGGTGTCTCTAATATATAATCTTTAGTCGGTAGAAATCTCCGTAAATTAAGAGGATCAACAGACAAATCAATTTTATACAATTGAGTCAATCGCAAACACACTTTTTACTTGGTTCCACTACTATCACGGTCAATTTGGTCGATAATTTATTGAGACTGCAAATGGTCTGCTAATGGGATCAAATAAAATCGAAATCATCACCTACGTCTGGTAGTTTCGATACGATAAATTACTAACCAATAAAATATAATAATTATTGACCTTACATACTTTGCAGGAAGATAATGACCATTATTATCTTGTTGATAACATTTGAGAAATCATCCAAGCAAATACTAATTGATTATCTTGATTTCTACAGACCATATTTCGAAGTCGTAAATGAAATCTCCCGATCATTTTACGTTAAGTAGATACTTCTTTACGAGATTAACGAGTTGTACCTACTATTTAATAGTGTCACAGTCTGGAAGAGCTACGAAAACAAAGAGACAAATTACGATTACTAAAAAAAGAAAGAGGAAACGCATCACCGAAGGGTCGAACGCTTTAGTAATTGAACGGTTAATTCTAAGAGTTAAATTAATGGAACGTTTAAAAACGTCGTCGTTCTAATCACGCGCTCGTGAAGAAGAAACTTTTGGGATTAGGAATTAATTAAAGAAACCGTTTTACCAAGATCGAATTATCGCTGTCGTATAAATCGATAATGGTATGCGCGATGTCCGCCACCTAAGTAAGTAAAATGTGTCTCCTTTTCGTACGGTTCGAACGCGCTACCTCCTTGCTCTTGTTCCTAATATAAAACTAGACGACAGCTCCACGGTAAATATATTAATCTTCGATTCGAAGACGACCACAACCGACGACAACTAGCATAGCGATTCGATGCGGTGGAATAGAAGTGACCATAAAACACGGCTCGGAAAGCACCCAATTAACAGTACGCCTTAAAACACAAAGAGTAGAGCGCGAAGGACTCAAGGAGACGGCGATACCGACCAACACCATGCTTTCTGTATCAGCCACACCGCCTTCAACTTGCTTGCTTGCTTGCTACCTGTAGAGCAGCTGGAATCGGAAAACGTTGTAAAACAACCGGTGACAGTATGGGATAACAGGAAATTAAGCCACGACTTAGGACAAAATCATAATTCATTAATCCACAAATCCATTATTCATTGTTCAAGACTAGGTGCTGTGCACGGTTTATAGGAATATTTACCTGACACTAGATATTTATCGTAATTTACGTCTAACATGTTATTTTCAAATATCGTTGAAGGCTTCAATGTGAAATTTGTTGACAAACACGGGTTCGAATCCCGGCGAGGGTGTGACAGCAACAAATATTTTCCATTAACTTGAGGTAATGTGTAATTGTAGAAATTAAATAAATTTCACATTGTTGTTTAAAAATTATTAAATATTAACCGCTATTGAAGGCACTGCTGTCGTAACCATTGTTTTTGCTAAATATTTATATTAATTCTAGCGGAAAACTAATTTTATCTAATGGAAGCGTAGTGGAATGGACACAGACATGCTTATTAACGAAGTTCGTTTCATTCTCTGTATAAATACATTCTGTTAGTTTTTGTATCAGCATATTTTAAGACAATATGTAAAACAGTTAATACATTACAGGAATTGACACACTTTAATGTATTGAAAACTACAAAAATTTTTCTAAAATTCTCGTTGTTAATAATGATTACACATTAGTTTGACGAATCTGTGACCTACGTAGTTAGAGAAGATCGTCGTTGTCGATAGTATTGATTACTTTATAACAATTCTTCTAAAATTGTCTAAAGCAGTTAAACTCTTCGATAACCAAGAATTGATAGCTGAGGCAAGGAAATGTGCGTATAATAACAATGTTAAATACACATACGTATAATATAGACCAAAACAAATTCGCTTAAATTCCTCTATTAATGAACCCGGCAGCGTATAGCGTCGTTACCTAATGATATTTAACGTTCAGTAGCAAACAACTGTACCGGAAGACATTATCTTAAAAGCTCTTTGATGTGGTAATATGTCGTCTAACAAACGATAAATGAGAAGTTCTTTTTTTATCAGAAAATTGCTATAGGCTTTCATCACGAAGCAGTTGTTAATTTTAATAGCATTAGATAGAATTTATTGCTTCATCGTTCTTGTTAGGTACCAGTCGATGGCTATTGCGATCCTCAACTGTATGATTAAAGCCCTGATATCGATAATAAATCAATACTTTAGGAAACATAAATACACACAAATACGATCTTACTTATTGTGGTCTGTACATTTTCGTGTTTGATATTTCCAAATGAAAATTAGTATGACCTTAAAACAGCCAGTGTAGGAACCAAAAAAAAAAAACCACATGCACTAATTTATTTTTATACGTTGTATGCACTCTAATTTATTTTTAAATGAAAGATAAAGATAATAACGAGATTATTGTATACTACTTGTAGTCCTCCCCCTTCGCTGAGCTTTCCCTTTTCACCCATTCAAAACTTGATTCTTTTAAAATGTCGAAATAGGTTTTTTATTAATTTTATCAAAGAGCATTAAAATCAGGTTTTAAGTCCAATCAAGTCAAGTCAAATCTATAGCCCCAAAAAAATTATTTAAACTTTGCCATCCATTTTCACTTCCTTATTAGGAATTGAATTTTGAAATATCCTTCCTTATTCCTTGTATGCATTATAAAAGAAAACCCCTGTGAAAAATGTCAGTTATCCAAGTCGAAGAGTACTGCATGGATGTAAATAAGTAATAATAATAAATAACACTGGTTTTCCAATAGAAAGATTTCAGTGTTTCAGAACAAAAACAAGCTTTTATGCAAAGGAATTTACTATGTTGAACCAATATGTGGTATTTATAAAAAGAAGCC